GCCTGCTGTGGGTGACCCTGCTTTGGCAGGAGGTTTGGACTAGATGACCCACAGAGGTCCCTTCCAACCCTGACCATTCTGTGATTCTGTGATTCTGTGGTGTATGTGTAAGGAGGTTACCACATCCACGTTTCAGAGCTGCCTGTTGAATGCCTATTCCTGCTTTTTCCAGCAATTTTATTGTGGAAATGAGGGCAGTCAGGCTCATCTCTATGTTGAGAGAAGAAAGCAAATGAGTTGTTTAGGCTTCCGGGGTTGCGTTGCGGAAAGAGAAAGAAGACGGTGGCTGAAGCGTTTGCTGTTTTGAAAGCAAGAGAGAAGAAAGGGAGATAGCTCTGAATACTTGGCTGGAGGACAGAAATCAGGAGAGGAGAAAAAAAAAATCTTAGCTATTCCTGTGCTTCTGCAAGGAGAGAGAGGTCTGGACTTCTTTTGAGGGGAGTAAGTGTTTTTTTAGGAGATAGGCTTTCTGGTATGCATGTTTTGGGGGACTGTGTAGCATTGACATTTTGAGAGTAAGGAACTCGCCTCCATTGAGAAGCTATGGGTGCTGCCAAATTAAAATAACGTGTGTTCTAAGTCAGTTAATGGCCAACAGCCTTATGCAGCTCATTCTAATTTGGGGATTGAGGAGTTATGTGGAAGATAATACTCAGAGAGAGTATGAATTAATTGTAGGTAAGGGTTTTATTGGGTAGGAATCAGAATTGGTGTGGTTTAGAGGGTTAAAGATGTACTAGTGTTTATAAATGTGACTTTGGGCACACTAAGCAAGTACTTTTTGGCTACAGTAAGCACATGCAAGAGAAATCTCTTGAGCCTCGGAAAAAATTGTCTGTCACTGAATCTGAAATGAGAGCAAAGAACAGATTTCCTGGGAGGTGCTGTCATGATGCATAACTTCTCTGAGCTTCAGTGTTTTACTTGTTGTCGTTTGTACCTGTTACTTTATTAGTTCTGTCTGAATGTGGCTAGGTGGTTAATTAAATTTTTTTGTCCTAATGAGATAAGGTCAAGATCTGAACCAGTGAACTGGAATTGAGAGAATCTGGGCATTTTATTCACTCATTAGCTACTAGTCTTAATGCCCTCTTCCTACCCTCATCAGTTCTGAGGGCTCCTTTAAGAGCATTGTGCTGTATCTAATGGTCTCCAAGCGTTGTGGGGGTGGGAGAAGAAAAGGTTGTCAAATGTCAACATCCTTTGCATAGCTTCCAGTTACTTATTTATATGGAGAGATTTCTTATTTGAAGTCACTAAAGCTCAGGCATTGAGGATTTTATGGCTTACAGTGATGTTCTCCATAATCCAGGATGCTCTTAATAAAGTTCTGATGAGCTGTCTGTTAGACTGCCCTAGTTTTTTCTCTTTAATTGTCAAATCGATCTTCTGTGTAGGATTCGTATGTTCTGGAAAATATAAATGTTTACAGTTTAAAGAACAACTCATCAAAATAAGCATTGTATTTGGGCAGTGCTTGGACAGTGTATGTTGGGTGGAGGACGCTCCTTCCAAACAATTAAATATTTGAAGAGTGGGAAATCAATGAAGATTATGTGTTGATGTTTTTTTCCTTTGGTATAAAAGCAACTGCCCCTCCCATCCACATACGGATCTGTGGTTTTTGCAAGCTTGCTGGTATTTTTTTTTTTTACTTCTGTTTTGCATTTTTTCCTTGTATAAAACTAATCTTCAGCCTTCCAGGAGTCAAAGCCCAGACACTGCAAACTGTTAGACACTGAAGTGTGAAAGCTGAAACGTCGTTATATAGACAGTGACTTTTACGACCCAAAAAGGGCTTTTGCTTTCCTGGCTGTGTCGGCTGCTCTAACGATGGCCGTACCAAACATGGGTGGTGTGCAGGCAAATCTTGACACGTCACGACGATGTGCTTCAAAACACTTGCAGCTCGCAACGCATTCGTGGGCTGGACTGCACTGGCTGCGAAGGCTGGCAGTTGCAAAACCCAGAGCTGTTTGGCAGAGCAAGCGTTGACTACGCTTCGAGCAGTGGAAGAGGAGCCACAGGAGTGGATTGCGATGTGCTGAATCAGGTGAACGTGTGTCATCCCGCCGGACAGGAGCAGGATTGCTCATGTGGCGCTGGTGTCACTCGATGGTGGCTGGATGCGTGCACGTGCCGTGGTGATTAAGCAAAGATCTGACCAGATAATGTAGCGTGCTCAAGGTGCGCTTCATAGACTTCAACCTGCTATTCTTACCATTTATGTAGTAGTAGAAGAGAACTGCAATACAAATAAAACCTCTGAAAACTGGCTTTGAGAATAGACTGGTTTATGTTAACAGAAACAATTTTTTTTTTTCTGTAATTGTTGTTGTTGGTGGTAGAATTGCAGTAGTAAGTGAAAACTTTTTCAAGCTGTTGGATAGGCATTGCCCACAAAACTGGATCTGCCATTGGCGTTAAGTTTTATGTCCGCATCAGATACATTTAAATGTCAGTCACGATGTAGCCTTCATTTATGCTCGGGGTAATTCGCCTGGAATACAAAGGAGTTTTAGAGTTGTTGTATGAATATCAGGAAAACAGTTGGGCTTTGACACTAGGATTTTAAATTTTGTTATCGTTTGAACTGATTCTTCCAAAATGGTGACTGACACCTCTCATTTACTGAAATCGTAGCTTTCTGTTTTTTTGAGGCATTTTGGCATACAGCTGTGGTGGTCTTACTTAAACAAGGGTCATCTACTACGTGCGGTCGAATGGACTGCTTTGGTGCAACAGTTTGGCCTTCTGACCAGTGCTCCTCCTGTGCATATCTGTGTTTTTCTTGCTGAGACGTAAACCCTTGAAAGTGCACTGAGGAACATATGGCCTTGGCTATCCAGGTGTTTTTTGTTTCATGTAGATGAGCTAGAATGCAGGATGTTACTGGTGGCATTGATGCTCGCTCCTCATTGCATAGATAGGCTAACTTCTGTAGTTACCTGTATGGTACCCGTATGTTTGTGTGGGTTTGGTTTTTTTTTTTCGTTTTGTGGGGTTGGTTTGTTTTAGAATGATGCTAGTGTTATTTCAGCAATGTATGAAATACACATCATTGGTGTTAGAGTTGGAGAGCAAGTCATCACCGTGGCTTTGAGACTGACCTAACAGTTATCCTTTAGTAAAATTCACACACTGAAGTAGTTTGCAAAAATATGCATTGATGATTACAAGCTTAATATGAACATGTGTTAATGGGTCTCAGTAAGCTCAATGCTTCAACTGAGAGTTAAACTGCGCTTCAATTAATGTTGTCAATTTAATGACTGCAGTGGGCAGATGGTGCCTACTTTCAATAATTTCACCCTGAAGTCTAATTTAAATCAATACCTGGGTTTTTAATGATTCTGTCAAGGGTGTGAAACGTTTCAAATTGAGTTTTACTTATGCTAACTAAGGTTGTATTTTAAAAGAATAACACTGCAGTGGTTATGGTAATATGTCTGTAACACTGCGTGAGTAACATATGACTTCTTCTGGCACTGCTAAATAGTGAATTGAAAAAACCCCCTAAAAGACATCCCTGTAGATATGACTTGAATATTTAGTTGCTTTATATGAATCTGGCTTTTAATTGTTGCTAAAATCTGCCAGTCAAGGAAGGATTTTCTTGGTTTTGTTTTGCCCAGGAGCGCTTCTCTGGAGAAAGGAGATAAAGAGGACCTACAGTTGAAGGCCTTGCTACTCACCAACACAAACGCCACTGGGTTGCTGAAAAGCACCTTCAAACCCTACATGCGCTCCCCAAAAGTCTGTGAATCAGATGTGGCTGTTTGTTTTTTTTTTTTTTTTTTTTTTTTTAACAATTCTCACTGCTGCAGCAGTGCGAAACTATTCTCATTTCAGTGCATGCCAGCTGCATTTCAGTTCCAGAATCCGTGTTGCTGTTTCTGTGTGTGTGAAGCAAAGAGAATTCTGATTGCTTTTCAGGCAGCGCTTAGAGCGAAGCCATTTGGGAGAGAGGGAGGTGGGAGGGAGAAAGGGTGATCTGTGCAGCAGTGGAGCAAATCTGATAGGAGAATAAACAGAGTTAAATGAGAAAGCAGTTGTTTGCTTATTGGGTTTTTCTTCATTGCCTGTGGAGATACCCAGCAGATGGCACAGGGATGGCTCTCAGAAGCTTCATTTTGAAACTAGAAAATTCAGTGGTGCAGAAGTTTTGTGACTGTGTAGGGGAGGAACAGTTCACTTTCGAGTCTTTTTTAGAAGCTTAGTACTTCAAAAGAAGAAGGCATAATCCTGCTAATTGTTTCTAGCATGATGTATGATTTTTCTAAAAAAGAAATAAAGGTATTGTGTGCAGTGACCGTGCATTCTAGGCATAATCTATGTTGGTCAATTGCTTGGCAAGGTAGCCTATTTTAGAAAATTTTTCCTCTCCCAATCATACTGATATACTACAAAACATTTCATTCAGAAATTTTCTTTTGACTGACTTTGGCTTTCGCTTTCTTCAGCTTAGTGAAAAATGCTTATTGGAGATTATGTTGTGTTGGAGATTCCTAATGGTTATTTTAACAAAATGCAGGTTATCTTGTGGAAGTGTGAGGTAGATTCTGACATGTTTTCCCAGTCATTTATAGTAGTTTAAAAGAACGTGGTAACACTTAATCAGATGTGCAGTTCATCAGAATGACTTGGTGAAACGGGTTGAATTCAATGCTCGGTTAGTCAAACTGGTCAAATTCTGCCAGCGTAGGTGCCTGCGTTTGGTGTCCTTCGAAATTCTTTCTCTCAGTCCTGAGCCTGATTTTCCAAGGGACCTTCGGACAAGGTCCTCCAGCCGCTGCCTGGATGAGAACTTTTCCCTAGCCCAGGTCTCCATGCAGCCCCTCTTGTCTTTGGCTGCCTCTTTCCAACTCTCACGTGCAGCTCTGTGCTTTTTCTTGGTGAGTTTTGACGTGGTAGCGCAGAAAAGCTGAGCATACTGTGATTGACTTGTTCTCGTATCGAGTAATGGTTCTGCTCCATGATAATATGGCTGCTCGGAACAAAGGGATGTGCACCCTCAGGACTCTTTTTGGCTGTGTTAGATGGAATTGTCTCCTTCTCAGACGTCACATCTTAGTGTAAAACTGATATGGGTTAAAGTCAGGGAGTTTTTACTTTTGGTTGCATCTTAATGTGAAGGAGTCGATATTTAAATATAACCTAAGTATCAACAGTTGTGTCATACCGTTTAAGTATTGGATAATCATTTTACAGATTTTTCATTCTCGGTAATACCTGATTGACTTTAGATTATTTTCCCACCCTAGGCCTAGTCCAAAACCAAATCATGATTATGAAAGACTGAAGATTCAGTGCATGAAGGCCATGTCAGACCTACAGTCTCTGCAGAATCAACACACCAAGACACTGAAAAGGTGTGAAGAAGCAGCAAAAGAGGCAGATTTTTATCAGTAAGTATTAGTAAAGCTGTATGAGGTAAGAGTTTACCAGTCTGTGCTAGATCCTCAAGTGTTAGATACAAAGCATCAGAACATGGCAATATGAGATTAAATATTTCTGGCCTGTTTGAAATCAGGAAGTATGGATTGCTTGTTCTGTTTTTGAAGAATTTGAGACAAATCCCTGATGTCTTGATGGGACGCTGACAAGGAAAGCCTGGTTACTGATTTTCAATTGCAATCCAATAGTCTTACTGTCAGGCTGGAGAGCAGAATATAGTTTCAGAGAATGTAATTTCTTACTCTCTTTTAATAGGTCATGATAGCTGTCATGCTGATTTGTGTAAGTTTTCGCACAGGCTTAGACCAATTGTAAGCATTTACGAAAAAGCAATACAATAAGGAGAAATGGTGAATATTTCTAGCATGCATTTCTGTTTAAAAATCCATTGGTGATGTAAGTAGGAACATGTTTTCTTCACTTGAAAGGAAGACAGCTCAGAAATAGAAATGCGAATAAATTCTTGGTTTTGAAGTTTATTTCACTTAAATCTACGCTATCAAGTGTGATTAGTGTTTAAGGACAGCGTTTGTTTTCCTTGGGGACTGCTAGTTCTCACACAGCACTTTCACCCACAGCGCTTCAAGCCTTGAAAGAATAATTTCCTTATGTTCTTCTTCCAAACCATGAAAATAGTGTTAAAGGCTGTCGACAGGTGCAGATGTAGCAAGTTGTGTGGTTTCTTTGCAAAGAGCTCGATTCGTAGTTTCGTTTGAGGATTTTCAACTCACTAGTGAATTCTGTGCGCAGCATTAGTGTTCTGTACATTGTAAATGGATTTTTCAGAGCTGAATTACCTATGTTCATCCCGTGCTGATGTGAAACGCTTGTGTTCTTTGTCCTAAAAATGGGTGTTTTGCTCACCTTATTTGGATGTTCTGTAGTCCCTGAAACTTTACTGTGCTGCACTGTTTATTTCTGTATTTTCATGGTAATATAAAAGGATTTAGCTTCTCATGTCAGGAGAAAAGCTCAGAGTTTTAAAAGGTAGAGTGGTTGATTGAAATATGCAAGTATACCAAGAATATAACTATGTTCCTCAGAGACCAACAATTTAGGCTTCTGCAAAATAATGCATATGAACAAGTACAAGCTTTTGTATTTGCACTTACTACAGACTATCTGGTCAGAAGCAAGTATAGCAAGTTTAAATAGATTCAGAGGTAATTCTTTTTATTTTAAGAACTTATTTACTTGGATATGAATAATGCAGTTTCCTGCTTAAAAGTTTCAAGAGGCTGAAACTCACTTTTGGAGTTTAGGTGCCCAAAATGTGACAATGCATGTTGAAGTCCATGCATGCAATTCCTATTCATCCTGTGAGCAATTCTCTTGTTAAAGAAATGAATTAAGTAGAAGATGCTATGTTATTTTCTCCTGCAGTAATTCTTAAAACCCCATGCTTTAAAAAACCAAAAAGTTACCATCCCAAAGAATTTAGAATTTCCAATGAAATCTGGTTAACAAATAACAGATTGACCTACGTCTAAAGATCACTTGTGTTTAATTGTGTGAATATAATTTGTCAAAGACGGGGCTTTTTTTAGCAGGTTATTCTAATTTTCAGGTAATTTTTGTACATTCTGTGATTCTGTGATTCTGTCCAGGAAATGTTGGTATTTCACTTCATAAGGAAGGAGTGCAGAGTATCTTAAAATGTAAAATGATTCTATTAATTTTCATGTGGTTTTTTTTTTTTAATAAATATGGACTTTAAATACTTTACCAGCAGGTGTGAGAGTTCAGTTTGAATGGTTCTGTCTGAACAACAGAAATACTTGTCAGTCTCCAAATGTCACTCTCTATTTGATCTGCAGTTGTAGAATACATCCAATTGATTTTTCTGCTCTTTTTCAGCAGTGGTTTGGTCTAATTTTGGACTGCTACCTGGAGTTATAACCTGAATGATAGTCTCATCGTGTAGCTCTCAGTTGTTTGATTTTTAAGGGAGAATGTATTTCTTTCAATAATTACGGCTTGTATAACAAAGTTTGGAGTAACTTGGATAGCTTTTTACCTGCTTGAACGTAGTCGAAACATACGCAATGTGTTTTTGTTGGTTGTGGGGTTTTTTTGTTTGTTTGGGGTTTTTAAAACAATGGCATACAAGGAGATTTCTGTAGTTTTCATCTGTATTTCCGTTAGCAGCTGCTCAGCTGGAGGGCCCAAGAGAAAGTGGAGGGGATTAGTGAGATAGTTCCTGATATGTCCAGGACCATCTTATACTCGCATTGCACTGTTTCTGTTTGTCTGTCTGCTTGCTTTTAAGATGGCTATGGAATGACATTGATAGGCAGCATAAAGCCATCATCTCTTCTGATGCTGTTTAAGAGTGCTCTGTGCTTTCACATTTTTTCATATTTATGTCCCTGTGTGTTTCTGATTTTGTTTTTTTTTCCCCACCTGCTGCTTGGAATACTCCAATATGCAGAATTGAGTTAGTGTGACCTGCTTTCTTGGTAGGAAACTCATGTTTGAAATGCGTTAGTCCAGGACTTTGTCCTGGCAAGTTGGCCTCTAAGAGCATTTTTGTGTGCCGTGACAGCACGTTGCACAGTCGGCTGCTGAGTGACCAGTCCCAGCTGAAGGAGGACATGGATACCTTGAAGAGGAAAAACACGCAGTTGGTGCGAGAACATAATCATCTCCAGCAGTCGTGCGAGGAAATGAAGAGACTTCACGATGAGGATCAGAAGGAGATAACGGACCTACGCAGCCAGCAGCAGCAGGTGAGCCACAGCTTGTAGCCTAAGCGCTGGGAGAGATGAGGAATTGCTCCTTTGGTAAATTAGTTGGTAAAACTGGATGTGCAGGGTTGCTGCCTTGTATGTTGTACTCCATCTGAAACATCCGCCTGATGTTTTCCAGCACTAGGGGAGAAAATGAGATCTTGGATACGAATTGATTTTCTGTGTTTAGCTGGAAAAAAAAAAACGAGGGATACAGAATATGAGGCTGTATTAAGAAATGTTGATGCAGAGATGAAAAAATGTACGAGGAAGACTGTATATGCATGTTTGGTTTTTTTTTTTGAGTGGGTGGAGAGGCGTCAAAATCCTAACTTGAAGTTGGAAAGTGATTAAAAAAATGATTGTTCTCCCAGGGTATTTTATGGGACAGGGCTAGCTTTAAACTTGCATGCTATGTTTGCTTTTCTGGAAAGTATCACAACAACAAAAAAAGCGACACATATGTTTGGGGTTTTTTGTGGGGGTTTTTTGGGGGAGTGGGCAGGGCTGTAATTATTCTAGTGACACCGTAATGGTCTGGGGAACGATTGAGCTAGGTTTGGTTATTTAGGTTTGCAGACGCTTTTCAGTTTGAACAAAGCTACAGGTTGATTAACGTTTTTGAACTTTAAAACAAAAGACGACAAGCTTTTCAGGAAGAGGTGGATGTTTCGGAGCTGTATATAGCAGGCTGTCTCTAGGACAACGTTGTTCACAAGTTGTGAAGACAAAACAAAAGTAAGAGTAATAGCAAGGAGCAACCAGTCATATTGCATCCATGGTTCAGCTATGGAGAAGTCTGATAATTTAGTTAGAATCGTTACAGTAACATGCGGAATGGTTAAACAGAATATCTTGGTTAACTGTGTGTAGGCTGATTCACAGGGCAAACTTGCAAGTCAAACATTAGGCTTGAGAAGCAAAACCTATGCAAACAAAAATAATGATTTGCTAGGGTAGGAGGGGAAAGGTCAAAGGCGGCTGGGTGTGCTGAACGGCGCTTCAGGAGGTGCTGGAGGGCCAGTGCCAGGAGCAGTGAAGACCTGTATTTCCCTTTGATCCTTCCCTCTGACGCTGTCTTGAGAGTTCTGTGGTGAAATGGTTTAGCGGCTCGATTCAGAAGACAGCAGAAGGGGTTTGCTGTGTAAACCTGGGCAAATCGTTTAATTGTTCCGCGCCTCAGTTTCCCAGTCTGCAAAGCAGGGGTGTAAACCCGCCAAGAGACGGCTATTGTGTTTGGAGGTTCTCTCCTGAAGTTTGAAATGATGTGGCAGCCCAGAAGGCGGCTGACGTATCATTGTCAGTAAATACAGAAAGAAGTTGAGTCTCGTGTCAACATGGCGATTAAACCTTTAAAGGAAACTACATACGTGACTCTCGGTGAGAAAGTTGTAGAATTCCATTTCTCAGCATGTCAGAGTGAATCATGGTGTCTTGAAGGGACGCCAAGAGTCTCATCTTGCCTGTGTCATTTCTCATCTGAGTGAGTCGAACTGTGTGTCAATCTCTCTCACGTGTTGCTGCGTTGTCAGGCCGTAGCAAAACACAACGTTGTGGGGGCCTCAGGGAGCCAAACCCTTTGATCGGGTTGCTCTTCGCGTGGGATTGCCGTGGATTTGCTGCGTAGCAGTTGACCAGCTTAAGTTTCTGCTGCTCGCGTAGGAAGTTTCTTGTTGCCATGGCTGTCTTCCTCTGGCCAGCTGGGACCATTTACTTTTCCTCAGACTGGGATTTTGAATGGGAGACCTTTGTTATTGCACTGCTTCCTCTTCATGGCCTTTCTGGCTTCCTCTGGCAACTCTGTTAGCAAGTTTATGCTGAGTTCCCTCCAATTTCTAGTATATTTGTCCTTCTTTAATTTTGTGTGTGTTTCCAGCAAAAAGACATTCCATATATGCTGTAGACGGTGAGAAGTGGTTTGGTTCTGTTTGGATTCTCAAATACTTAGTTCTCAAACCTGTTCTCGGAATGCTTGGGGAAGTAGTCTTCAGGAAAATGGCTCCTTCTGAGCAGGTTTAAATCAACACGTATTTACACTTTACATATGCCTCCAGCTGATCACATGTAGCGTATCTGAAACTGTTCAGTGAAGCATGCTAGCTAAGCGTGGGTCTGCACAGGTTATGCTGCTGAGGGCAGGTTATGCTGCTGGGCAGGTTATGCCCCACTGAGGATGGGGCTTTGCGTGGAAACGGCCGTGCAGTGAGACTCACCAAAGTGCAGCCGGTTCCAGGACTGCTTTAGGAACGGTACCTCACTGCTTTTCTGTGTCTTGATTGGTTAAAGGAGGTGAGTGTCAGGCTGAAGAACTTTGCCTCTTCTACCTTGGCTGTGTAGAGAAGTGCTTTCCTGACAGCGGTGGTTGTCTGCTGGCCGTGGGGAGCGAGTACCGGGCAAAGAGCGGGCGGTTTCTTCTGGTCTCCTTTCCTTTGGTCTGCAGGCAGCCAGGTTCTCCCATGCTGAGGAACTGGTTCATACTCAGGATACAAGCCGCAAAAGAAGATGGGGAGCCAGTCTGTGCATATAGGGTAGTTGCTGTGTGTTTGGCTTCAACTTTCTATAGAGCTCATGGTTTCTATCTTTTTTTCCTTCTAATTTTTTAGTGCTTTCTATTTTCAGATAGTTAGGAACCTTTGTAGGCTAATGTTAGGGTTGTACAAATTCCTGGCACTGCTCTATATAGAGCATTTCCATTTCTTCCCAACACTCCATCAAGGCCAAATTTCAATTTAAAAGATAAAACCAGAAAAAAAACTATCGTAGCATTAAAAAAAAAAAGGAAAGAAAAAAGATAAAGCCTCATTTCAAGCAGTTTTTTTTACTTTTTGGTAAGGAAGAAGGACTAGCTTTGCTGAAGCTCATTAGAGGATTTCTGTTGTGGCTGGTCATTTGTCATCAGCGTTGCTATTTACAACAAGATTCTTATGTCAATGGAAATTAATTTGAAACTGAGATTCAGGTCAGGCTTTATTCATGTTTAAATGGATTTTTTTTTCTCTTCCTGTTCATGTTCTTTGGATACCTTTTGAAACACAAATCTCTTGGGTAGTTCAGATGAAATATTGTATGAGTATTAAAATATATGCCTATGTGTGTAAAGTATTTGGGATAGATTTTATTCTCTCGAAGTTTTAAAGGATTGAATTTGCTCGTGGAGGATACAGGCAACCTGTCATGAATGCCACCTCGTGGTCATTGCCTAAATTACAGCTATCAGCTTGCTCCTCATGTAGCGATTACCTTTTTGCTAGAACTACAAAGTGCTTTGAAAACAACGTGAGCTTAACAACTGTTGGTAGCAGTTACCCTCCAAGAGAGCTTTTCGTAAACTTGTGCACTCCAAGTTGTGATAAAGCAGATTTTTTTTTCCAGTCAACATTAAGCAGATACAGATAGTAATGATTAGAGTAACAGCAATGTTTAGAACAGGCTCTGTGTTTCTGTAGTCATTAAAAAGAACGATTATGAAAATTGGTTAATATATTTTTGTTCTAATAATGTTTCTTGTGTATATTTTAAATCATGTTTATTAGACTGATTAAAAACTGAGTTTATTAATACAGTTTCTGGCTTTTTTTTAGGTTATGAAGCAAAATGGTTCATCAGAGATATTAAATAAACTTTATGATACAGCAATGGACAAGCTAGAGGGTGTGAAGAAGGATTATGATGCCCTGAGGAAACGGTACAATGAGAAGATCGCAAGTCACAATACAGACCTGAGCCGCCTGGAACAGGCTGAGGAGGAGAACAGACGGCTGCAGAAACAGATTGACATGTTAATGAAGCAAAGGGACACAGCAATACACTTCCAGCAGCAGTACTCCACCTCTCTTAGAAGGTAGAATCAGGTTTTGATACCTTCAGATACGCTGTGAAAGCAGTAACAATGCTTAATGTAGCATCTTATTTTCTCTGTGGTAGAATCACAAATACTTTTCTAACTTTTTTCTGAAAATTTTTCTCCAGTGTCTATTATCTTATTATAGTTGGCATACATTACTATATAAGATTTTCTGGCACGTCCTAGAAGGTGTGATGGGGATGTTTATTTGGAGAAATGGTGCTTTTTCTTGAGAAATGAATTTCCCAGTTAGGATGTTGGAATTGTATGAGGAATTTTAATCATTGTTTAGCTCATGGGAGAAAGGGATAATCGGCCTTTCAAGCTATGTTTATTCTTAGTTGCGGACACAGGAGTCAATCACAGTTTTGTTAAACCTCAGACTTAGTGTTCCGAGCATACTCCTCAATGGGTGGCAAGTCTGTCAACATATATATCTTCATTTAAATATAAAAAACAAGTCAACAGGAGGATATGATTTCTCAAAGGTGTTCAGCAGATGAATATGTTCTTAAGCATAAGTTAACTTTCAGTGATGTTAGAGCTGCAGACCGTGTGGGACTCGGAGACAGAGCTATCAGGCTGGCAGCAGAGTTCACTGGATGCAGACGTCTGGGAGTCTCGCTTCTCTGGGAAGGGGCTGCTGCGCTGAGCAGTGCAAGTGCCAAAACAGAAGGGCACAAATACTGTGTCGCACCACACTTCACCTCCCTCCCCTTCTCCTCGATACTGAGCCTGCACAGATACCCGTATGGGGTAGGAAGAATGCTAATATACACAAGGACTCCAAAGAGCATCCGTGGGCGTGCTGAGAATGTTTTCACTGACACAAGTTAGGGATAATACACAACTCCCACAAACTAATGCCAAAAAAGATTGTTTTCCAGATTCATAGACTTTTAGTATTTCAGAAAGGTGAGATTGAGCATAGATAATAAAGGTCACCTGAATAGCATGTGCGTAGTTGTGATACATCTAATAAAGTTATAGGAGAATATGAGTAATAAGAGAATAAGTTATGTAACTTAGACTGCCGTGGATTCCTGAAAGAGGGGGAAAGCCTGATACATACTACAAGAAACACTGCAACCGTGCTGATACATGCAGAACCTCAATGTATTTGTATTATGGCCTTGTGATTTAAGTCTCCTCCTTGAGAGGAAGGTGTGCTTTGATACTGAGCAGAGGTTGGTTTTAAGAATTTCATGAAAGATACTCATATTTCTGTGAACCAGTGGTCCAGCTAAATTAACAGATCTGAACTTCAGGACTTTTTACCTTTTATTCTGTTGGGTTTGGGTCTGGAGTTTTTTCAATTGTTTCTATTGATAGAAACGTTTATTTGTCTTATATTTATACCCTTTCTTCGTAACCAAAACCATATTTTTCTGGGTGACTGACCAAAAATTTTTTAAATGCATTTCAGGTGAGTATAGTTTTTAGACTTAACAGACTTGTAGTTTGAGGATGAATGGGCCATAAATTGCAGCACTATTTGTGTTTATTAGCACCATATGTAAACACCATCAAAATCAGTTTTAAGAAACAGGAAGAGTGATGGCCCAGGTCGCATTTTGAATTAATCTTTGGCCTTAAAAACTGGCAGGGAAGTGTTCAACCTTTTTTCTTTTATCTGTAATGTTGTCACAATAATACATAGCATATGAATGCTACCAAGATGGTTTAGTTGGTGACTTGTTTGCAGATTACAAATCAGCTATAATGTCTGTGTAATGCCTGTGTGTTAAACCTTACCCTACGTGTGTATGTCTGCGTTTTGAATGTGGGCTATGGCACTTGGGCAAATCTGCCCGTAGTTTGCAATTGCGTTGAAGACAAAGCAGATAGTCCTGGTGAGGATTCTTTTCAGCCTTATAAACCCATGCTTATTGGTACTGACCCTTCTAACCCTGCTACTTGCAGTCCCTTCACAACAGTTGATGGGCTTTCTCTACAGAAGGCATCTGTGAAAATGTGATCCAGCAGCCTGGATTTCCTCCTTAGGAGGCAATGCAAGGTCCAGCGGGACAACAATCTTTCAGCTGGAGCTTTGCTTTCAGGTTTTTATGCAGGTTTTTAACACTGTTTAATACGAGAGTTGCTCTATGGCAGGGACTTTTCCTTTCTGATCAAATCCCCATGCTAGTACGCTTGTCACGGTTCGGGGTTTTTGGGTCAGTTTTTTCCTTTGTTTTTGGTTTTTTTTTTTTTCCTTCCTTACTGATGACAATTTCTTTGTTTGGCAAACATTGCCTGAAATCTTTTCTCCTCCCCTCTCACTTGGATCTTCCCAGTGATGTCCTTGATTTGACCCACACATAGTTTTCAAAGGTACTATGGTTCTCACGTGGCGGTGAGGTGGTTTGGCATAGTCTCTGTCTTAGATTTCTGATACATCCTTGTACTTCTCTAGTATATTCTTCTTACCTTCCTCCTCGTAGTTCTGAAAAGGCAAAAGAAATGCAGATTGTAATATGTTAAGTCTTCCGTACTGCAAGCCCGATGATCTCTTAAACTGAAGAATTTTCCGAAAGGAGCAGGGTGGTGGTTTTGAAATTACTGGCAGATGCCTCAGTAATGCTGTGGCAATGCTTTGAATACACTGAGGCTTTCAAGGAAATATTTGAAATTGGGTTTACAGCTCTCGCTTGGGAAAGGTCAGGCAACATGCTGGGTTGGACAAGAAATTGCACTTTTAAACAGCGTGAGGCGTGTGTGAGAGAGAAAGAGAATAAAGTCTGCCAGAGGTTTGTGGGCACTTGAAATTTGGATAACCCTAGAAGTCCATCAGGTTAGGTACAGTGTTTCCATCAATGGCATTTGCCTAGGAGTTTTGGAAAAAACATGCAAGGAAAGCTTAGTGTCCAGTTGTGGTAAAACACTGCTCTCGGAAGGAGTTCCTTTTCAAACCTAGTTGTGAACTTGTCTGTGGAATTATATTCCCGCTCTTAAGAATGCTTTGCAGTATAAACACAAAAGTCATGACTGAAGTTAAACTTTTTATGTCCTTCAGTAGGTTGTATGATGAAGTGCCTGTGTTTTCATCTGTGTCAAATTTTAAAAAATTACTTTTGACAGTTGAAGGTATTGCATTTCGGTTTTACTGGATGACCTACTGATGAAGACAAACAGTAGTGTGTGACTTACCTGGTTTTAGTTCCATTGTCTGCATTTTTACTCTAAACCCACTTTTTTTCTCCTCTGAATTGTCCCTTACCAACCTTGTGGCATATTTGGGCATGTGGAAGTTGTTCTGTTTTTTCCGGTTTCTGCATTTGTGTCCCTTCCTCCCACATGCCTGGGAGTGTGTGTTGGGAGGAGGAATGAACTTCGAAGATGAGCAGAGCTCAACGCAATAAATAAGGTTAAGCTTGTGCATTCCTTTTAGAGTAAATTGGTAGAAATTTACTTTTAATAATTAAATTCTAAATTACTTCTAATAATTTTTATGTTTGAGTTCCTTAAAGAGGTTCTCCAGTTTTCCTAACGATCCAAAATAATCCTAAAGCAGTAATTAGTCTGACTTTTATTTTACAGCACTGAGAGTGCGTTGTCAAAGATGTCCTCTGCGGGTGTGTTTTACTAATGCATACATTTGGTTATCCAGCCAAGTCCTTAATGTATGAAAAAGGAAAATGAGGAACAGGTATCTTATAGACATTTCTGCTTGGTTTTAGATTTGAATCGGTACAGCAGGAACTGAGCAACACCACAGCACAAAACAAAGAGTTGCAGAGAGAGATGGAGCGGTTACAGTCGGAGGTGACAAGGTTCAAAACAATGCAGCTGAAAGCAGCAAAGGATGCAGAAAAATACAAGGAAGAAAGGGATTCCGTTTTCAATGAATACCGCCTCATAATGAGTGAGAGGGATCAAGTAATTAAAGAGGTTGATAAACTTCAAACAGAGCTGGAGCTTGCGGAGTCCAAACTGAAGAACACCTCTTCTGAGAAGCGAGTGGCTAGTGAGGAGATGGAGGCTCTAAGACAGGTACTAACGGGGAAGGGAAATGAATATACACTGTTGATGCTTAGAATCAGAAATGTGTAACTGACATGGAAAATATGAATGCACTGCAAAAAGGAAATTCCTTGCTAATGTTTTCCTGCAGCGGTCCTTTTTACTATCAATTTATTAAGATTGCATGTTTGAGTAGAGTACCTGTCAGCTGGAATTTGCTATTCACTTGACTTAATTCTGTTCTGTGGATTATAAATCCTTCCTTTACTGAGTTTGTCTTCCATGCCTTTTAAAGTAATGCTGTCTGTAATAGTATAGCTCTAAATATTTATTAACTTCTAACCTCTACAGGAGCTACTGGATACTATCTCCTATTACTTAAGGTGGTACATGATAAAACAGTCTCAAATATTTATGCAAAGCCTATGCTGACATGCATGTTCTTACTCATGTGCCCTCCTTCTGCCTTTTAAGAGGATATTTTTGAAGATGTTTCAGTAGAACTCAGGCATGCCTTAAATTCAGAATTATTCTTCACGCTGTAATGTTTCCAAACAGAAGCTGTTCTAATCAGCGCCAAATGGCACATTGCCCTGTGCTGTCATGTTGTAATCTTCTGGAAATGTCACGGGAAAAAGACAGAGGTGAAATTTTACTGCTGACCACTGGAGGCAATGGCCGCTCTTACTCAGTTTGTATGGAGCATGCTGGAATAAACTGTGGCAATGTGTATTTTTTCCAATCAACTTTAAAGCATTGTAAATTTCTGTTTAATGGAGGGCTTGCTGGCAGCTTTCCCTCTGCCTTGATACTTGATGACTTTCATCCCTGCTGCGTGCTGGAAAAGACTTAATACTTTGGTGTGAGTTTTATACACGCGTTTGAATGCCCATTTTATCCAGGCTACCGTTAAGCTGCGTAAAACGTTGCTTCCAGTACTAAAACTTGTCTGCACCGCCAGCTGGGTCAGGGATTGCTCTCTGCAGAGGTACTGAGCAACGGAAGCTCTCACTGATGTTGAAAAAGCTTGAGTGCTCTGGTAATTGCGATGTTTAAAATTCACAGAGTGAGTCACTAATTCTAGTGCTTGTCTGTTACTCTGCAGCACAAATATCTGTTTTAATACTGTTACAGAACTGTTTTAACAGCCTGACTAGCCTTATATTAGAGGCCGTATCTCAAAAACAATTATGTTACTACCACAAAATAGAGTTGTCATCCATGCTTTAAATACTCAATCTTATTCATTGCAAATTGTAGAGGAAAACAGAATGGAAGTCAGTTTGATGACATGATGTCTTTCTATCCTTAAGTGTTTGGACCATTTTATTTGCTTTTCAGATGTCAGCCATCTCCAGTAATCTTTCTGAGATCAAAACATCAATAGTTTCCAGCTAGGAGTGCCAATATGTAGGAGAACTTCTTTGTAGCCATTGGCTGAATGCTTGTAGAGGACCATGAAATTCAACTGTTTCAATGCTTCATTCTTCCAATAGGAAGTCTAGTTTAAACTATTTTATAAGGACAAGACTGTATTTTAGAGCTACCTTTTGCTCATCTTTTTCACTATGATGTAGTTGAATTCCACATTTATGAGATGTACTGTCATCCTGCTTTTATGACATACTGTGGTTTCATCTTGCACATTCTGTAGTTTACACATTGGTATTTTACTGGCACGTGACATTAATGTCCCTTTAAAACTCACCAGGAAATTATGAGATACTTATATAGCTGGGTTGTCTAAGTTATTTCAGTCCTATAAAATCCAGGCAGTTGCTTAAAAATACTTGCAATATATTACTACCCTTTGCCATATTTAAAGCCTTTTTTAAAACACCAAGTTTGACTGGTTAATAAACTTCCCTCATTTAGGTTCCTCAAATGGTGAGTGCTCCCAGATTCTTGCTTACTTTTGACATAGCACGGTGCTAATGTGATGGTGTGATATCTTTAATACACATTAAACGTTCTTTGTTAGTATTTGTATGTAATGTGAGCACAGTCTGCTTTGCTCCATTTTTCAGATCATTAGTGGTAAACTCTAGGCTTTTAAGGTGTCAGTGTGTATCCAGTTGGAAAGATGAACTATTTCATTCTATACTTAACCTACTGCAAACAACATATCTTGTTTTAGGAGCTAAACTCAGCTCTAGTGGAAAGAGATCGAGCAATTTGTGAGAGGAATGAATTGCTGGAAAAATACTGTCATGAAGTGAAGGACAAAGCTGAGGCCCAGAAGGAACTTGACCAAGCTTGCAAGGATATAGAGACAGTGAAGGAAGAAAGAGATGTTGCCAGGAAAGAGAGAACGGAAGCGATCATCCAGAGAGACCATCTACTGAGGGAATATTATCAAGCCCGTCAGGTATTGCAAGTCTTCACAGATGGCTTTTTCTTTCTTAGTTTCAAAGAGTCAGTCATTTTCAAGACCTTACTTAAAGGTCTGGGCACATTGGGTGTCTTCCCGCTTTTCCCCGAGTCACTCTAAAATACCTACATATAAATGCACGTATGTTCTTTGAGACATAGTGACAGAACTTGTTGTTTGAAAGAAATAGTCATGCTTCATATTAGATTTCTGTTTGCAAAAATAAATGGCAAATAAAATACTGTGATCCAGCGGGTGACTAGGCAGTTTATTACCTGCGGGTAAGTTTGTTGCAGTCTCTGACATGTGGTGTTGGTGCCTGTGACCTGCTCAGTATGTTAGCTATTTAGTTTATTGTAGTGTGATTGTAAATTTTCTAATCTATACATATTCTTACTATAAACATGCTATTCTGATGGTTGATGTACCTGTGTGGGTAGTAACATTCTTACAGTTCTTCTCGCTTGTGCGTGATACTGGACATCAATCCACGTACAACTGTGAATGCTTACGTGTAATGTAGTATGAAAATGCATAGGATCATAACTTTTATGTTCTTCAAATAACGAAGGAATGGAAAATTATTTAATAATAAACTAGATATTTTAGGTTGTTTTCATTAAACCTCTATTCTCTTTTCAGTGAATACTGACCCTTTTTTTCAGTCTTGCCTGTCACACGGATTTGCCAATCCCGAAGGAGTGTGTGGGGAAGCAATTAAACTATGCTTGCAGTTGTACTGGACATAAGTCTTTCACTGTGTTTGATTTTTCATGGCTAAGCCAGTGGGATTTTGGAAACTTGTGCTTTTCTCAAGGAAGCTGAGTAAGCTTGGGTGAACTTAGCAATGGACCTGCTCAGGTGCTCAGCTTTGGCAGATTCCAGATCAGAATTGATGTTTCAAATATGAACATCTGTTAGTTGATCCTAGTGGGCTTTTTGATTGTCTTTTTCCTGCCAGTGGACTGGAAGAGAAGAAAGTGGTCCTTGGAAATGAAGAAGACAGTTGAAAGTCCTGGTATAACTCTTTATGGCCTCTGTTTGGTCTTATTTGTTGCAGTTTTTGTTTTTTAATGTTGAGATGAGAATCTAAACCTGGGGTTTAAGGTTCAGTGCTCTTATTTTTTGAACATAATTGTAACTCATTTAGAGGAAAAAAAGGGCCTTTAAAAGATACTAATTGTGACTTAGTAGTCTCTTTTTGATGTACGTGCATCTGGGTCATAAAAGCATTCCTTCAAAGTTTAATCTTTAGTCGAATAACAAGTCTAGTAAGACTCATGAGATTTATTTATATTCTTAGTATTAGTCACACACAGTTGTTTGCAAGCCCATGGTGTTCAGTGCTTGCGGTGGGCTATACCATTGTAGCTGGCTTGTGTCTATTGCGCTGCAAGCTTGGAGTATTCCCTGTGTATCTGTCCTACTGTTGTCACCATATCGCATGTTCAAAATAGAGAATGTTGAAGGACCAAGTTAATTTAAGAAGAAAGTAATTCTTGTCCAAAACAAGAAACACTCAAACAAAATTTTTTAATTCCATTGCTCTGCTTTGGAGTTAAGGGACCTGTGTGAATCACACGTTTATGTTGTGACCGTGTACATCTAGTTGTCCCAGGGTAAAGAACAGACATTAAAGCAGCAAATCTGTGTTGTGAATCCTTTTAATAGTGTATCTGATGTCTCAATATCCTGCAAGTTTTTTCCTGTCTGCTAAACAGAACAAGATAGAAACATGGAATGTCATCTCTGAAATACAAAATGTTTACTGATGCTATTTTGAAGTAGGGATTCTTACTCATGTAGATTGTATTTGTACAAGTTTGTGTGCCACTGAATGTAAATTATTACTGCAGATTTTATCTCCCCC